CAAAATTTCATTGTCTCCCTGTTTTCTATCGGTTTCTTTGTTTCATAAATTGACTGCTTATCAACTACAACCGGATGTATATAAGATTTTTGTTATTGTTTGCAATTTCATTATTATGATTATTATTGGCCAGTGACATGATGTCTGGATTTCAACCTTCGTTTTTCTTTTTTATATGTGTTTTCGCTATGTTTTTCATGCCCTTGCGGGTAACAGACGCCTGGGATTTTTCTCTCTTGTCGTTATCTGGGGATAATATTAATTCCCAGCATTATATTTCCTATTTTGAAGTATGATTTACCTGTCCTACTCTTTTGTGATGATAGAATAGGCTATGTTTATTATTTTCAGTTGATGTACGTCTAGTCTTGTCTGTTGTAGAAAACGTTTCTATGGAGGATAGACCTTGTATCTTGACATGATGACATATTGTCTAGTAAGTTCATTAGAATTTTTGAATTCCTGCATAGTGATTCACAGATGAATATACTGAATGCTTCTGCACTTAGACATATTGATGATGCAAAGATATTCTGTCAGTTCGTTTGATAAATTAAAAGTATAAGTCAGATATGCCGTGTCCTTTCTAATTTCATCAGTCAACACGACCGGAATCATTTCGCTGTTACAGTACTAAATTAAACCATTACCACTACTGCTAATAATGATAATGGAGAATTTAAATGAGTTCATTTTATACTAAAACCTGCGCTGAAGATGCATAGAAGGACAACGAAAGCTTTGCAATTAAATCAACTACCTCAGAAAACACAACCAATTCAATAATAATAATAATGAGTAGAACAAAAACAACCATAGGTAATATCTTTTGCTTCATACTTATAGGTCGGTCATTGATTAGGTGACGTCTTTTCCATTAAATGTTAGGTGTTCATGGATCAGTTATGCATTTCTGATAAAATATAAAGGTTTGCATTATTGCGTTTCCTGTGACTGGTCTATGGCGAAAAGTATTTCTCTGATAAATATTTCCTGGTCAGCTGTTTAATCAACCAAAGGTTGCACATTCTTTGATATATTATGGTCCTGTAATCCTGTTTGCTTTCACTTTTTTCATCAGTCGGAGTACATTATAAGTACATAAAATGTGTTGTATTAAGTTTCTTAAAACAAGTGGCTGAAATAGTCTGTTGTGATGACCGTAATTGTAATTCAAGCATCAAAACCAAATTGGTTCAACCAATCATTTTTTCTGTGGTCTGAATCCCATGTGTTTATACACCCTATTGATTCTCTATGGTTAATTTCGTGTCACCACACTTTTACAGTAGATTTTCTTGTAATAATAGTTAAATTAACAGGGTATTTAATTGGTATGCGAGTAGAGTGATAATAATAATAATAATTTTTTCCCACTACAATTGACACCAGAATAAATTGTCTTCTTCCTACTTATCTTAGTATTACGGCGAAATTGTGGACTTTTTCTTTTATTGACGTCTTCTTCACAAGCTGTCGTACTCACTAACATACTCTATTGTCAACCTTAAAGCACTCACCTGAGCTGATAATATTAAATGACGTTATTATCGAATAGGTGATTCTTTATTTCGAATACGTTCTTGTTAAGTCTCTATGAAAGAAAAACATTTCACAATTACTTGAAGGCAACTTTGTAGTTTGGAAACAAAGTTTGCACATTTACGTCACATGTTAGTGTATGTGTTTATGGACAGTGTGATCTGGTTTATTGCCTTACATGTGATAAATTCGATAAATTTTTTTTGTTTATTGGAGAGTGACTTCTTCGAAAGATGATCAGTTTCACTTCACTACAATTTCGTGAATATATTTCCAGTATATACAAGTGGATTATCATAAAACATTATAAATGAACACCCTCATCATATATCAATGTATAGCCTTCATTCATGTTGTTATCAGCTCTGCGAATATCTGAAGGGTTATCTATGCAGTAATTCACTTTATGCATATATGCCTCATTCGAAAGGTTAAATTAATCTACTCAGCTTTTCCAGTTATTACTAAATGATTTGATTCCTTCATTGTATTCTCCGGACTGTTGTTAAAGTTCATCTACGGAATTGCTGTTATCTTTTCAAGTTATCTTACTTTTCTATATGAAGTCAGTCGTGATGATTATCTTACATGTGATCGATCATTTCAGCCTCAGTATCGGACATTTTCTATCCTCTCATATATATATATATATATATATATATATATATATATATATATAATCACATTATGCATACTTCATCAGCATTAGTGTCACATTTGGCGGAAAGGCATTTATCGATTAGTTTTGTCTCTCATACATGCTCTGTACAGGTCACTTATTCTTTCGATTTAAATTTACTTTATCATGTAAGCTTTTTGTTTATTTTCCAATGCGTGTACGTGCAGTGTGTGTGTGTGTATATATGCACGTTCACATTTCTGGATTGTGTAATTTGTTTTACTTCTTCTGTTTACGCTTAAATCTTAATTTAGTATGATTCATTTTTTGTAGAGAAGTAGGCAACTAAAACGAGAATATTACAAAACAAATGGATTATTATTTTGTGATAATATTTATGTCCTTTTTTCACTATTTTATGCATTGTCGATTGTTTAAAGATATAAAACTGCCTTCTTGCAAGTTCATTAGTTTTCTGATACACCCCTTCATTGAGATATCTGAACCGTCATTTTCTTTTAAACTTCACTCCACAGCACCATTGTGAATGATTTGTGATAGCCTAAGGAGTTATTATACCAATTATCGTAAACGAATGCTTAAAGTGACGCTTCTCTTAGGCATGATATCATGTATATTTATCCACTTTTTTAACAGATATTAGAAAAGAACATAATTTCTTCTCACTGGATGGCCATTTATTATCATCATTGAGCAGAGGAGACTAATTTACTTTGACAGTTAACTTATGAAGTGGTCTCGATTTAAAACCCTCTTACACCTGTCTCAGCCCTATGTGATTCAGAGCTAAGCGTAAAAAGTATTATCATGGGGTAGCTAGGTTGGGTTGATCATTCCCCGATGTACTTGAAGCGCGTGAACACCATAATCTTATGTTGATGAAACGTAATCTTTTTAGCACCTCTGTTAAGCTAGTTCCACAATGTTTCCTATTTTCAAGTACACTTTGGCGTTTGAAACAATAGCTGTAGTAGTTAAGGCCGCCAAGACTTCATTCACTAGGTGGAGAAATGTTTCGTTATCAAGGCACCTGTTTACTATTGAGGGTATTAGTCAGCACCGCATTGCATTCTAATGCCCGAGCTTTGAGTAAGTCTTTGGTAGTAGAAAATATTCGAAATACATAACCATGTTAGTATTGTACCGATCGTAGCATTGTCCGTATGTTGTGGGACAATTTAATATTCATTGCTTAGGTTAATGTATGAGAGGCAGACAGAGGTGAATTATTCGGGATACATATTAAAATTCCATCAACCAAAGTGTGACTCACATTCACGTTATACGCACTTATTATGTATTATTATTCTCTTTGCTTCAGAGTAAAATATAGCACTTCGACAACACATCTCCATTCCTCTGGAGTCCTCTTAAGTTGGTTCCACAACCGACAATAAGCCCTCATTTCTTTCTTGCATGATCTCCTCCATGTCACCCTCAGGAACTCACCTCGTCGTTACGTATTCGCGTTCCCCTCGAGGGCCTAACAAGCTGTCACCTAACGGTTTCCAAATTTCTTCTCAGTTGACGTCGTCGAAGATCTTACCGAAGCCGACGAAATTGAGGTAGAGATTCGACTGCCATTCTATGCTCTTCCATTAAGGATACAAATTTATTTTGATAAAGTCTCACAGTGTTATACAGTAATATTTACTGATGACGTTTCTAGTTCAATTTATTGCTCATAATCACATCAAGGTACTTACATAACTTTCTCGCTTCGTTCATATACATGAATATAAAACACTGTGTGACTTTATCATAATGAAGTTTTATCCCTAATGGAATTATACTCCACCACAGTGCCGAAGTTTTATCCTTATATCATTCTATGCTCTTTCCTATGATGATGCATAGCGTTACATTTTGTCCTACACATGATTTACTTTTCCTGAATCCAGATTCTTCAGACCGTTATCTTGGCATCCACAGCATCTTTGAGCCTCTCCAGTCTGACACGACTTAATATTTTGCTTCGTGTATATATCGACATGATTCTGCCCCAGTTTTTGCAAAGACAGTGCTGTTACGTTAATTTGCTATGTTAGCCTGATACATACACTGAACCAAAGTAGGTCAGCAGTCAGTATGTTCTCTAGGTCTTTATCTTATTACCCTAAACAGGCTTAAATTTCTTATCTGCAATTCACACAGCAATTTACCTTATCGTTTATTGAATGTATACGAAGATAGCACTCAAAATCTTATAGGCATTTTTGACTTTTGTTCATCGTAAACATATCTCTATCTATTTCTCTTCTTTACTTACTCGTCTCTGTGTGTAGTTGTATTATATATCTCATTTATTTATTTATTTTTCTTCTTGTTGACTTGTCGATTTAATGTTGTGAATAACTCTGGTTTTCAATAGAAAGCGGTTATTAATATTGCCATTTTGGTTGATGTTAATCTGTTGGAAACCACTATACTTATTAGCGTCGATTGTCAATTTTTACTACTGACCACTGACATCCACACAAAGCTGCATCAGTATTTTATTCATAGGAGATACGAAAGTAATCACTTATTCTAAAGGGAAGTTGCTTTGTTTCACATTTGATCCTTTAATCACGAGTTTCTATATGAGTATTGCGGTGGTAATACAGAAGCATAAGGCGTTTTTGCACAATACAGTGCATATATATATATATGGCATTTCTGCTGCTACTTCTGTCGATTGTGCAAATTTTCAATAAAAATGGAAGTCGTCCGATACAGTATTTCTCACTTAATCTCTTAAAACTTGTCGAATTTATTATATAAATTATTTTTTGAGATATTTCTCTTAACAGTCATGTCATTTTTCTATTCTTTATAGGTTCCTGTGATGCCGCTGATTTCCTTCGTGAAGCCCAAACAATGAAGCGACTCCATCATCCAAATCTAATCCAACTCTATGCTGTTTGCACACAATCAGAGCCATTCTACATTGTCACAGAATACATGTCGAAAGGTTCTTTATTGAATTACTTGCAATCTCCTGAAGGTCGTGCATTGGATATTCAATGTTTAATTGTGATGGCTGCTAAAATTGCTTCTGGTATGGCTTACCTGGAGTCCAGACGTCACATTCATAGAGATTTGGCAGCTAGAAATGTTCTTGTCGGTGATCAGCATGTAGTGAAGATAGCGGATTTCGGGCTGGCTCGAATGATTCATGTAGGTGTATTATTTACCGCTGAAATTTTGTCTAAAATCTCTGTCATCTGTGTTTAGTGATTTATTAAGAAGTTGTTTACCTTTGTTCCTTTCTCTTTATCAAGGATTATTTTATCTGCGTATTTACTTTTTTTGGTTTTTTCATGTTGCATGGTATTTTTGTAGTTGTTTATTGTTTTTCTAATGACATGAATATCTGATGCAGTGACTATAAACGGAAATCACTCATCTGGGTCACTAAGCTATTTTTTTATGCTTCACAAGTATTATCAGAAAATGTAATTAATTACACTGTATTTTTGTAGTATCTATTCCGTTGTACCTGCCGACACAGTTTAGAGAGTTTGTGGCCTGTATTTTTCTCCGCACACTGACACAACCATTTTAAGCCAGTGAATGCTAGTAAGTTATTTTGTCTTGTTCTGAGCCTTTTCAGCAGTGCGCACACAATCTGACTAAGGATCATACCCAGAACTGTCTAGATACGAAGTGAGTCAATTTTCCCATGAATTTCAACTCACACCATAGCACCACCGGCATGTTTATTTAGTGAGTATTTATCCTCATACCCGCTCGGCATTTCTATTAGGATCCCATGATACCCCTTTCATAGTTTTATAGTAATTGGTAGTGAAATGATGATTCCACTTATTATTTCAAGATAGTTTTTGGTGGAGCAACATTATCTTGAGAACCATCTTTACAAACCCTACTTCTGATTATGCCTGATTTTTTATTATGAAATCCTGTAAGGTTGTAGGTAGGGGTATCCTTTCAAGTGTTTATCATTTCGTGGGATGTGCACATCTTTTCTCAGCCTAAGATAATACTGAACAGACTGACGCACTCCTAAACCCCGTCTAGTTTACTAGGCTGAAAAGTAGGAGGGTTGTGCTTCAGGCTAACAATCTCACTCCATAAAAATAACACTACCTCTATTAAAACTTCAAAGCTCGAAGCCCTATATTACACTCAGCTGATATAGGGCCAAGCTGGAAAAGAGCTAGTGGCGGTCAAACGAAAACATGGCACCAGTCAATGAAATCCACAACAGTTAGTCTAAGCCACGTAGGAAGGTGTAGACTTCCTGGTTGGGGTCCTCGGGACGGTAAAAACCAATGGTTGGAAACAATTGGTGACATTGCTCAAAATCGTTCTCAGTGGCGCAGATGCATCCACTCCTTGTGACTCATGATTTCTTCGTTATTACTATTCCTTTGTCTCACACCTCTGTTTACTGTCTATATTATGTATTTTTCCTAATTCCTTCTCTTGCTTTGTGGGCTACATGGAGTGTGGCGACTTGAACTGCCGCACATATGTGCAAAGTTCTATGTCGAAAACCGACCGACTATATTACACTCGTAACGTAAAGCAGAATGCATGTACACAGACTTCTCAATTATATTTTAACTTAGTGGTTACCTCATTATTCACAGTCAAGCAGTAGATAAAGTTGTTTTTTCGTAGTTCTATATTATAAACTGTTTTTCCACTGAATTTGTTAAGTATCATAGTCAAATATTTGAAGAATGCTATTCGTTCATATATGAATCCAAAGCAATGTTTACCATTATGGCTTGGTTTTCACAAACGCATACTTTTCTGTCACTATTCAGGCTAAGACAGTGGGAACTTCACACCATCTCCAGATATATCTCATTTACCAGCTTTTATTTTTCTGTGGCAAATATTATCGTAGATTCACTCAGTTTAGAAAATATGATGAAACAGTTAATGCGAATATAGCTGTTCTGCCTTCATTTATTATGCGCAACTCATACATCTATTTCATAGTGCTGTGAAGCATTATATTGAAAAGGTGGTAGACGACACTGCTAGTTCTTGTACCTAGTTTTATTGTTATTGTCCCCTGTCAGAATCTGATTTCTGCAATCGTATTCATTGTTGTACACAATTTCCCTTCAAATTAAGATGAAAAGGCACATTTCCCCCTGTGAATTATTTGGAACATGTGATCATTTTTCCAGTATTTGATACTATAAAAGGGATATTGGTCTTTTTAGAGTCTTATCATTCCACTTTGAATAATAAACGTGAACAAACAGTTTATGTTTTCTAATACCAATGTGTTGTCAAGTGATCCACAACGGAAAACTCAGCGAGGCGTTTGGAGTAAACACAGGAGTCAGACAAGGGTGCTTATTATCACCAATGATATTCATAATTAGGGTGGACTGGATTATGCGTCAGACAGTGGGAAACGAGAAGACAGGGATATCCTGGACTGACGTGAATAATCTAGAAGACCTGGATTACGCGGATGATTTATGTTTGATGTCACACAAAATCGAAGACTTACAAGCGAAAACCGACAAACTGGTCGAAGAAGCAGCAAAGACAGGACTCCAGGTGAACATAGACAAGACGGAGGTTATGAAAATAACCAACCAACAACAACAACAATAGCAGCAACACCCAGCGCCAATCACCATCAACGGGAAGGATTTGAGAGAGGTTACTTCTTTCACTTATCTAGGGAGCGCTGTCTCAACTGCAGGGGGAACGGACGAGGATGTCAAATCGAGATTCGGGAAGGCGAGGAACACATTCATCAACCTGAAACCAATCTGGAAATATTCGTCACTCCTCAGCATCAACAACAAAATTCGGATTTTCAATACAAATGTCAAGTTAGTTCTTCTATACGGATCAGGAACTTGGCGGGTGACAAAGAATATTTCCAACAGGTTGCAGAACTTTATCAACAACTGTCTTCGCTCTATACTGAAGATCAGACGGCCGGAAAGAATCACCAATAAGAAACTATGGTAACAAACAAAACAAGAACCAATCGCCCAACAAATATGCAGGAGAAAGTGGAGATGGATTGGACACTCACTGAGGAGGCCACTAGGTGACATCGCGTGTCAGGCCCTGGAGTGGAACTTGAAAGGTAATCGGTGAGTTGGACGTCCAAGGGTGACATGGAGGAGATCATGTGAAGAGGAACTGAAACATTATGGACTGACATGGACGCAGGTGAAAAGTACAGCAGAAGACAGAAACAAGTGGAGACGTGTAGTTGAAGCCCTATGTTCCACTAGGAACCTAAGGGAACAATAATAAACAATAATAATACCCATGTGTAATGAAATCAACTAAGTGAAAAAGGTGTATTTGTTAATTGTAAAACGAAAACTTAGTGAATATGGTCAGATTTGTAAACCAGATTGTGAATTACTACTTTAAGAAGGTGTAGTTGCATTCTGGTTTTTGTGTAAAAGGTATCCTCTATTTCAGTAAGCTTACTAACTTTGTTTCATCTTGGACTCAACACTTTTCTATACTATTCAGAGAAAAGTATTGTATGTGGACTGAAATTGCCGAGGGGATTTGTTTCTGACGAACTAGTAAGCTGTGCATCCCTATACCCTTATACATGTTTATTACAAGATTTGTTATTTAATGACTGAAATAAAAACTCTTCTACAACGTGTAACGTCATTGAAACAAAATAACTTTCTCATGCATATGTTAATCCTTTTAGTTATTTTACCTTCAGGGTAAATAAGTTGTACTATATATATTTTTTAGACATTTTATTACAATCTTGATATGGTAGACAAATGATTAGTTTCCTTGTAGTTTCGTATTGTAATGAAGTGCACTTCCTCGTAGTTTCAGGTAGAGATAATTAAATAATTAAATTTTATTCCATTAGTAGATGGTGTTGTCAAATTTTGCGCCCGTCATTTATTTGCTTTTCTCTCTCCTTGATATCTACATTTCTGTATGCATACTTTTGCTTTTGTCTGTGTGTATGTTTGGTCATTATTACTGTGTTTTGCTTTGCACAACTAGTTGGAAATGTAGTTAACTCTAGACAACGTCGTCTTTGTGTAATCAGCGTCTATCAGTTAGGAAAACTCCTAGGTAATTTGTGACTTTATTAACTGATTTTTAATTATGCCATTTGGGTTTTACTTCTACTGTTTCATAACAAGAATATTATATAAGATTTCAAGAGAAATACGGTGACGGGCTATGGTTTCCTTCTGAAAGCTTGTCAGATAATTGTTAAGAAAAAATATTTCACTGTCTAGCTCTGAGCAATACCTTGTCATATATATATATATATATATATATATATATATATATATATTGTATATGTATATAAATAGTTTGTGATTTAGTAGTTTGACGCCTAGATGTCGTTGTACTTGTCGCTCATCAGGAATGTAATTCTAATAAAACATATGTTATTCGATACACTAGCTGTTTCATGAAACTTAGTAAAGGTGTTAATTAATTAATGAATACAATTATTGTTCACTTAAGTACGTAAACTGGAACAACAGTTTACGAAATCTCCCTGCAGACTTTTCATCATTTCCATTTTGTGCATCTCTGGATTAAAATTGTGAGGCTGTACAATTTTTATTGTGTTGCCTTTTGAGAAAACATAAAAACTAGACCATCCATTTGCCACTTTTACACTATCGGTCGACGTACTCAATGTTAGCATAATTTATTTCGAAAGCTAGACCTATAGAAATTTCATTCAACCGATTGTTTGAAGGAAAGTCAAACACTTAGAAAAAAGTCATTATTATGGAGAACTTTAAATGAGGATCATTATGTGGAGTCCACCAATACGCTTTTCAATTTAGTGTCATTTTCCGGGTTAGTATGTGCACCAAGTTGCTATCACTTTACTCGAATTCCTCATACAGTCGTAATAATGGTGAAATACAGGAAATAGATGAAATGCCTGCTTTATTGATTACGTCAATTTAAGTATCGTGGATACCTTAATTGCATAGTCTTCATACTTTCAAACTTTGACGAATGGAAAAAAATTTATCGCTAAGATTTGCTTCCGATTAGAAGAAGTAAGGGGAATATGTGTTTTCTGCACTAATCAGTGTTTTTATCCTATGTCCTGAATAATTTACTTTGTCTACCAATGGTAAATTGGTCAATGAATATTTTGATAGTACATTTACAGTGCAATTGTTCCATTGCCTGTTAAGTAC